GCAAGCAGCCACTCAGCCTGTGCGATGGCGCCAAGTATAAAAATGTTAATGAGCCCCGTTGCAAGAGGTCAATTTGCCTCTTGCCTGTGAGCTGCTGGTGTCAAACATTTTACCGTGTTTAACCCGTTCGTGATGTATAACATTTTTCCCACTCAAATTCACGTGGGCCTTTTTGATCAAATAGCTTTTCAGTTTCACTTTCAAGGAAAATCCAAGGCGACTCATTTTTCAGTCACTTCCGTTTATTCGTGTTGTTCAATAAAGTTATTTCTATTTCATGTTACCGGTAACTACCTTGTGATCCCTCCCCCCACACTCCCTCAAACTCTCGAAATTCCTAAGCTTACCCTCCTCTTAAAAATGTCCAACAAAGTCACCGTAATTTATAAACTTGATGATAAAAATGCCCAGAATGAGTCAAATGTGCAAGAGTGACTGGGTTGGTGCCGTGATGATGCAGCAGAGAAGCCCCAAGGGCCTGAGTACCAATGCAAAAAGAATAGCAATGCAAATTGCTATTCTGATTAGCACGGTTGGCAATGTGAAACAAATTCAACATACATACAAACAAACGAAGTCGAGTCAATGTGAATTATCAAGACAATTTATTCACAGTTGTAAACTGAGTGTACCAGCCTGCAATAGATTAATGTGTCCGTCCGTCCCCTTTCAATACTTTAACGAAGTGAAATCTCGTGCTGTTCTTAAACATTTACTTATCTTAAACATCGACTTATCTTAATCATTGACTGATCTTAAACATCTACTTATCTTAAACATTTACTTATCTTAAACATCGATTTATCTTAAACATTTACTTATCTTAAACATAGATTTATCTTAATCATTGACTTATCTTAAACATCTACTTATCTTAAACATCGATTTATTTTAAACATTTACCTATCTTAAACATCGACTTATCTTAAACATTTACTTAAACATCGACTTATCTTAAACATCGACTTATCTTAAACATTTACTTATCTTAAACATCGACTTGTCTTAAACATCGACTTGTCTTAAACATTTACTTATCTTGAACATCGACTTATCTTGAACATCGACTTATCTTGAACATCGACTTGTCTTAAACATCAACTTGTCTTAAACATCGACTTGTCTTAAACAACGACTTGTCTTAAACAACTTGTCTTAAACATTGATTTATCTTAAACATCGACTTATCTTAAACATCGACTTATCATAAACATCGACTTATTTTAAACATCGATTTATCTTAAACATCGACTTATATTAAACATCGACTTATCTTCAACATTTACTTATGTTAAACATCGACTTATCTTCAACATTTACTTATCTTAAATATCGACTTATCTTAAACATCTACTTATCTTAATAATTGACTTATCTTAATAATTGACTTATCTTAAACATCGATTATCTTAACATCTACTTATCTTAAACATCGATTTATCTTAAACATCTACTTATCTTCAACATTTACTTATGTTAAACATCGACTTATCTTCAACATTTACTTATCTTAAACATCGACTTATCTTAATAATTGACTTATCTTAAACATCTACTTATCTTAAACATCGATTTATCTTAAACATTTACTTATCTTGAACATCGACTTATCTTAAACATCGACTTATCTTGAACATCGACTTATCTTGAACATCGACTTATCTTAAACATCGACTTATCTTAATCATTAACTATTCTTAAACATCGACTTCTCTTAAACATCGACTTATCTTAAACATCGACTTATCTTAAACATTTACTTATCTTAAACATCGACTTATCTTAATCATCGACTTGTCTTAAACATCAACTTATCTTAAACATTTACTTATCTTAAACATCGACTTATCTTAAACATCGACTTATCTTAAACATTTACTTATCTTAAACATCGACTTATCTTAAACATCGACTTATCTTAAACAACGACTTATCTTAAACATTGACTTATCTTAAACATCGATTTATCTTAACATTTACTTATCTTAAACATCGACTTATCTTAAACATCGACTTATACTGGTAGGAACGAAGTTGTAAACTGAGTGTACCAGCCTGCAATAGATTAATGTGTCCGTCCGTCCGTCCCCTTTCAATACTTTAAGTGAAATCTCGTGCTGTTGGGTGTAATAAAATTGCGCAAAATTCCAATGTTCCTACCAGCCCACCCTGCAGGGACCTGTTAAGTTAGATTGCGTAAATATAAATGTGTCATGCAACACACCACCACCCGACACAGTAAGGTTTGTCACATAAACAGAACATGCCAATTCATTACTAGTACAGCACACCGGTGTGTTGGAGAGCAAATCCACAACATTTACAATCTGAATACGACGTTTGGCCAGTAATTACAAATAGCTTCAGCAGGTGACAGCCAGATTTGTGTACAAATCCTCCTGTTTCATTTCTTAAAGAGGGATATATGTGATGACGTCACTTGTGGGACCTTCTTGTGCGAAGGGGGAGGGGGTGGATGAATGTATGCATATGAATAACAATGGTTATCCATTGCCGGTTGGGTTGATATGTTAATCAACGTACATTATGTATGTACATTATTCTTGTACCTCCTGTTGTTTGAGTGCAATAAAATAACAGTACCTGTTATTGTCTGCATACAGGTGATCCCCATTTATGTATGGTGACCTGTAAGGCATGCATTTAAACAATTATATGAAGATTCACTTCTGAGCAGCACTAATTCTGTAGCTATCCGAATGGTTAAGATTATTTGTATTGATCTCCATTTCGATAGATTCTCTAATTAGTCATGGCCAGTAGTAACTAGTTTTGCAGAGAACGTCAAAATTATCAGAATCAATTGAGTGTCCTTGTTGGCATGCGTGTTCTGCCACTACTGACAGTTGTATTTGGGAGTATTTCATATTTCTTCGGTGTTCTTTTAGTCTCATGCTGATCATTCGTCCTGTCTGCTCAACATAGCATTTGGCGCAAGTGCAATTCATCGGTTACACACCTTCTGTTGATTGCTTCGTTAATAAATCTTCAGTATCAGATATTAGTTTATGTATTTTATGTACCATGCCAAATCTAACTCGGATGTTTTGTTTTTCCAAAAATGTCACTAGTTAACCATTACTCCCACAATGTACGGTATTTTTAATAGTTTTAATTTATAACATGAGTTGAAACTGACCAAGCAATTTAAACTGCTAAAATACCATACATATACTAGCCAGATTCTTTGAAAAACAAAACATCCGAATCAGATTTAGCGCAGTACACAAAATACAAAAACGAACATCTGTTACTAAAGATGTATTACTGAATCTTGATGTGAAGCTTTCGTGACTGCAGGAATCCATACTCGTTGGTTCTTTCGGTAAAGTCACGTAGTTAGAAATAAAATAAAAAAAAAATGACGACGTTTCGGGCGCAACACAATTGTCACTTCTCCTAACGCCAAACGGATCTTATTCAGAGCTAGCCTTTCTCTAATCTCAGAGAGGATAAGAATACTCCGTCTTGAACTTGATAATTTAGACAAATATCTACTACAATCACACTTAACATTAACAAATCAAATGTCTGCATTTGATTGGAACCTTGTAGATAACATGACTGCTTCTTCTGCCGCAACAATGTCCTGCAAATGAAAGGTTAACCTTATTGCTAAATTCAATAACTTGTCAAAAAAGAAACCAGATCCACACATTAAAAAGCTAGATGGTAACAAGACTGTTATCAATCAGAGTAGCAGCATAATCTCCAATAGCCTAAAATCGGTACTAGCTAGAGGGCTGAATTTTGCTGTCACCCCCAAACACATCCCAGGGGATGATATAATTGCCCAGGTAGATGTAGTCCTCAAAGGCTTGGGACACATCCCGACAAACGTGGCAAGATCTGAAATTGCCACCATACTTAAAAATGCTAAGAAACCCATAAGTAACATCAGCAAAGACGAGCGCTCTGAACTCGGCAAATTGAAAAAGAGAGATGACATAGTCAACCTCTCAGCCGACAAGGGCAATGCTACTGTCATCATGGATAAACCCACATACAACAACAAAATCCAGGACCTTCTTAATGGCTTTACACCAAAATCAACAAAGATCTCACCAACCGCCTGGTTACAAAACCAACAATATCATTACCAGTTCGACTTCTCTAATAGAGCCATTCAAACGGCTCTCCCTAAAACCTGCTGCTACTAGACCACCCAGATTCTATGGTCTTCCAAAAATCCATAAAGAAGGTACTCCACTTCGGCCCATCGTTTCCACTATCAACTCACCTACCTACAAACTGGCCCGTTTTCTGTCTGATACCTTGCTTCCTTTCACGGGCAAGACTACCTCAGACATAACTTCAACCGAAAAGATGGATACAAATTGAGCAATCATTGGAAGGATGTTATTAACCAGGTAAAACCTTAACTGTTTATGGTTATTTCCATCGTATCTGCCGGGTACTAGCCTATTTTTCTGAATTCATTTCTCCCCGCATCCTCAGCTTTCCCGGCTTTCACAGCCTCCCACTTCCAGCCCCGCCCACTTCCCCCCCCTGCCTCACGTTCTCTCTCCCCCGAGCGCTCACGCAGCGCCCCCCTCCCCCTACTTCACACCCCCCCCTCTCTCCCCCTTGCTCCTCCCCCCTTTATTACCTAGATAACCGCTTGCCACGGCAGCTCTCTCGCCCACTTCAGCAATTTTTTTCTAACTCCGTGACTTTACCGAAAGAACCAAAGAGTATGTATTACCGAAGCTATCACCAGCAGGTGTGCAACAGATTAATTGCACTTGTGGCAAATGCTATATTGGGCAGACATGACGAATGATCAGCATGACCAAAAGAACACCAAATCAATATCAAAAACTCCCAAATGCAACTGTCAGCAGTGGCAGAATACGCATGCCAACAATGACACTCAAGTGATTCTGATAATTTCGAAGGTCTGTGCAAAACTAGTTACTACCGGCCAAGACTAATGAAAGAATCTACAGAAATTTATAAAAATAATTGTAACCATTCCGATAGCTACAGGCTTAGTGCTGCTAAGAAGCGAATCATCAGATAATACATTGTTTAAATGCATGCCCATACAGGTCACCATACATAAAAGGGGATTACCTATACACAAACAATAACAGGTACTCATTGATTGCTCGCAAACCACAGGCGGTTCAAGAACAATGTGCATACATAATGTGCATGCATAATGTACCTTGATAATTACCACATATATATATGACGCAACGCGCAATGGATACCCATTAAAATGTATATGCATTTCATTAATCCCCTCCCCCTTCGCACAAGAAGCGCTCACAAGTGACGTCGTCAACAAAACAGGTGGAAGCTTCATGATGATGAAGCTAGTTGTAATAACTGCTGAAACGTCGTACTCAGATTGTAAATGTTGTGGATTTGCTCTCCAACACACTGGTATGCTGTACTAGTAACAAATTGCCATGTTCTGTTTACGTGATAAACCTTTGTCGGGTGGTGGCGGGTTTAACGACAGATTTATATTTACGAAGCCATCTCCCAGAGGTCCCCAGCGGAAGAACAGGAGGTGCCGACCCAGCAGCACACTCTCACATCTCGCAGGCGGCGGGGTCGGGGTGGGGCGGACGCTCGTTGCAAGGCGCAACGTTGATAAACCTGCGGAAGAAAACGAGCGTTAAGCCGCGCAGTCCGTTGGTACCCGCCCCTCCCATCTTTCCCACCTGGCACACGCAAGCTGAGTCAGCGCAGGGGGGGCACGGCGCGGGGGTGAGACAGAAAGAGGTCCGTGTCCGTGCCTGGACGGGATGTGGCGCCGGGTGTGAACGGCGATGCTCTCGTGACCGTGCGTTCGTTTGTGTGTATGCGCGCGTGCGTCTCACCTGTGACCGTCCTTCTGCTGCACGAACCCCGGTGGATGTTGATTATCATACATTGGGGAAGCATCTCCCCCCCGGGGCTGGGAGACCTGTGAAGGAGACCGCCATGAACATCAGCTCGTCGAGAATGCCCGAGGCAAACGAGCGATTCGCTCGCACATCCTAAACCCATGCTCTGGGCTTTACAGTGAACACCTTAACATGGCTGTCATTGCATGTGTGTGTACGCATATGTTGGTACTTGTACGCGTGTGCATGTACGTGCGGAGCAGTAGTGTAGCGGATAGCGCGCTGCTCTGGGCTTTACAGTGAACACCTTAACATGGCTGTCATTGCATGTGTGTGTACGCATATGTTGGTACTTGTACGCGTGTGCATGTACGTGCGGAGCAGTAGTGTAGCGGATAGCACGCTGCTCTTGAGAAGAAAAATTAACTCACACTCATCAACGATACTGTGGCCTTGAAATAAAAAAACATAAAAAACATATACAGTGAGGGAAAAAAGTATTTGATCCCCTGCTGGTTTTGTACATTTGCCCACTGACAAAGAAATGATCAGTCTATAATTTTAATGGTAGGTTTAGTTGAACAGTGAGAGACAGAATAGCAACAACAAAAAAAGCAGAAAAACGCATGTCAAAAATGTTATAAATTGATTGGTATTTTAATGAGGGAAATAAGTATTTTATCCCCTCTCAATGAGAAAAATTTCTGGCTCCCAGGTGTCTTTTATACAGGTAACAAGCTGAGATTAGGAGCACAATTAACATCTGAATGATTCAGAGGACAACTGGGTGAAAGTGTTGTGGTCAGATGAGACCAAAATGGAGCTCTTTGGCATCAACTCAACTCGCCATGTTTGGAGGAGGAGGAATGCTGCCTATGACCCCAATAACACCATCCCCACCGTCAAGCATGGAGGTGGAAACATTATGCTTTGGGGGTGTTTTTCTGCTAAGGGGACAGGACAACTTCACCGCATCAAAGGGACGATGGACGGGGCCATGTACCGTCAAATCTTGAGTGAGAACCTCCTTCCCTCAGCCAGGGCATTGAAAATGGGTCATGGATGGGTATTCCAGCATGACAATGACCCAAAACACACGGCCAAGGCAACAAAGGAGTGGCTCAAGAAGAAGCACATTAAGGTCCTGGAGTGGCCTAGCCAGTCTCCAGACCTTAATCCCATAGAAAATCTGTGGAGGGAGCTGAAGGTTCGAGTTGCCAAACGTCAGCCTCGAAACCTTAATGACTTGGAGAAGATCTGCAAAGAGGAGTGGGACAAAATCCCTCTTGAGATGTGTGCAAACCTGGTGGCCAACTACAAGAAACGTCTGACCTCTGTGATTGCCAACAAGGGTTTTGCCACCAAGTACTCAAGTTTCAAGTTCAAGTTTCATTTATTAGGTATAGCCCTGTGAGCCATGCGACTCTTAAGTCGGGTGCAACCGCAACAAACAAAATTTGAACACAGAACATCTTAAAGCGACAACGCGTAACAGAAACATTCTGGAATAAACCAGCAAATATTCCACACAAAAAAACGTATTAAAACGCTGTGTGCAAAAATCAATGTGGTGCAAGCCAACAACAACAACCATAAGACAATTTGGATTAACCATATGTTTTCGAATCACCAAAATAAAGCTAAGAAAACAATGTAACAACAGTAATCATAGCAACTGTGATTTTAAATTTAATAATAAACGACATATATAACACGGACGACAAAAAACTGCAGGCATAGCTGGCAGCACGACACTCCCAGTGTATGATGTGTGAGTGAGTCAGCAGCAGAAGGGTCAAATACTTATTTCCCTCATTAAAATGCAAATCAATTTGTAACATTTTTGACATGCGTTTTTCTGGATTTCTTGTTATTCTGTCTCTCACTGTTCAAATAAACCTACCATTAAAATTATAGACTGATCATTTCTTTGTCAGTGGGCAAACGTACAAAATCAGCAGGGGATCAAATACTTTTTTCCCTCACTGTATGTGTAATCGGCGACGTTTCGGGCAATGGCCCTTCTTTGTCAGAAGGGGAAGCTGTGCAGTCCGCGAAAATCTTTATATCGGCCTAGTGGTTGGAGGGACAAAAAAGTTTGAGAAACACTACTGCAAGAGATACAGAGAGATATATTCACCATCTTGAGAGGCGGAGGGGCACAAGGGTCGTCGTAGAGGAGGCCATCATCATCCGTATCGATGGGCGTGGAGTCCGTCAACATGTCAGACTCGGACTGTGGCAGGTAGCCACTGCTTCCTCCGCTGCTGGCGCCGGTGCTGCTGTTGCTTTTGTAGATGCTGCGACCGCTGCTGAGGCACATGCTGATGCTGGCGAGGCTCGTTCTCACACTGTTGCTGTTTCTCTCGAAGAGCAGCGCGTCCGCAGTGGGGACGGGGAGGAAGCTCATCGCCTCATCCACGAGCTCGAACAGCTTATCCCGGTCTATCCCTCGCGGGGCGGTTGTTTCTGCGACAGAAGGACCCCCCCCCTCGTGACTCACGCGCACTCGCAGCGCCCGAGAAGGTGGCATCGCAGAAACACTTTCAAAGCCGTTTGGACGAGAGCCTCTGTCCGCATTAAAGACACTGCTTCAACACGTCTTACCTTTAAGGGTGCCACGGTACCGAGATGTTAACTATCTCACCTGGTATACAGGTGGTGAAGAGTTCGATCCCAACCCTGACACCTGTTGTATATTGGGAATTTGCACGTCTCTCTCCCTGTGGTCACGTATATTTTTCTCACGGTCCTCTGGTTTTTCCCTCCACATTTAGAATTAACATCACGTGTTTAGCAACACCTTAGACCGGGCGAGTCTCTCACCGCGTGCCCCCCCCCCCCATCCCTCGCAGCCATGCCGAGCTCAATCCCCTCACCTGGTCTCCTACCCTTGACAGGCAAGTCCATCGTGCACCTCCATCTGCTGAGCGCCTTCTTGACATCTTCCATGCTCCCCTTCTTCTTCTCCTTCTCCTCCTCCTCCTTCCGCTTCTTGGCGGCATCGACCGCGGCGGCGTCCCGCCACAGCTGCTGCAGGACTTGGCGCGCCCTCACCTGGGTTTTGGCGAGCTTTCCTTGAGCCTTGAAGAGGGCTTTGTCCGCCGCCGACCGACGCGACCCCTTCCCACTAAAAACGCCGCAGCAGAACAGGCTGCTCTCCTCCTTCTCCAGCAGGCCGTCGTCGGGCGACAGGTTGTAACGCGTCGCGGTCGGAATGTGATCAATATCCACTTGTCTGCAAAGGCAGACGGAGCGTAATTTGGGGTCACAGATGCTCGCAGCCGTCGCGCCAACAGTCACGAGCTTCTGTCACTTTGCATTCACACTCGAGTCAAGTGAAATCAGAATCTTTATTAATATTGGAGGAATCCGATTAGGTATGAAGCTATTTTGGGGCCGTCCATAAATGATGTCACGCACAGAGGGGGGGGAGGGGGGTCAGACATTTGTGACGATGTGTGACGAGGGGGGGTAAGAGAAATGTGACGTCACATCAAAATGCGCAACTTTAAATAAACTTAATTAAATATAATTGTTATAACAACACTAATTTTGATTAATTTTCATTATTAACTATTTGATTATTTAAATTGACTAAGGTCACCTTTTATTTATTCCATGAAGGAGCATTTTGCTTCTCCATGGGAGAATGGACAAACATACATTTAGAAAAAAATTTGAATGACTGTTATTAAACATTTTTATTCCAATGATTCGACCAGGGCTTTTCATTCTGTGGAATCCATGTGAATGTTTTAATTATACTCTCCATTTTGCTTCGTTCTACTACTAAGTTTCAAGTCTATTTTATAGTTATAATTACTTTCAATTTTTTTATAATTATAAGAGAATTTCAAGAAATATTCTGAACATCTGCAGTTTCATTTAGACGTTGAATATTTTCAAGTGAATTTTATGCTAAATTTCAGCTTTCCAACGCCTCCTTTTTAATACATGTTTTCTCCTACAACATCAGAGTGCAGCGCCACATTAAATACGTGCAACAATGACAATAGTTTAAAGTGATTTGAAGCATGTTTTATTTTCAAAATGTAAATATGGTTGGGGGGGGGGCAGAGCCTTGTGACGTCATATTTGAGGGGGGTATGACTTTTTGTGACGCCGTGTGACGAGGGGTTGTGTGTTTCCCCTCTCTCGTGAATTTAGCTCTTCTGTGCCTGGTGGTGGCTGCTTGTGTTGCAACCGAAACGTCGTACGCTATTGTGTTATTTTATTATTTCTTATTTATACGTGACTTTACCGAAAAAAAACAAAGATTGAGGGGGGGGGGTCAAAAATCGGCCAAAATCGCGTGACGTCATTTATGGACGGCCCCTTTTCACAGATGTCTAGTTGGGGATTGGTCAAAAAGTTACAACAATACAAAAACACGATAGGAGTGCAGAGTACAGGAAAGGTAAGCAATTCACTTCAAAAATATATACAGTAGAACCTCGGAGATCGAACGCACCAGAACTCGAACAAATCGGTGTTCGAACGATATTTAGTATTTCCCAACATTTTTTGCCCCGGAAACCGAACGAAATTCGGAGGTCGAACGGCCAATCGCGACTTGAAAGAACCTGTACGGCTGAGAAGCGTATGGCCAGCAGCGTGCATGACGCTTGCCCAGACAAACAGGACTCCCCTTCCAAACAATGACACCACCACCTCCTCCTCCTCCTCACCACCTTCCACTCAAGCCATCAACTCTCCTTACTACAGGTAAAGTGAAGTTCAATGTTCATTTATTTAATTTATTCCATATACTCATTCATTTATTCCATTTATTTATTGTGTTTCTTGTTTTTTTGGTATGATTTTATGCATGTAATTACTGTAAACTGCGTGTAAAAACTGCTTTATAATGAGAGATTTCTTGTGTCTGGAACCAATTAATGTCATTTACATTAATTCTGATGGGGAAAATTAATTCGGTGTTCGAACAAATCGGTGTTGGAATGGCCTTCTGGAACGAATTAAGTTCGATCTCCGGGGTACCACTGTACAAATGAAACTCAACTAGGTTCATGCTACCAGCTAAAGCCTACTGAGCTATTAGATTGTTTTCAGAAGCAAGATAGCCACAAATGATAGAGGGGGCCGTCGGGATGAGAGGGGATGTCGGCAGGAGGTGTGAATGAAAGGGAGCAGGGGATGAGGAGGAGAGAGCAGCGGATGAGGAGGAGAGAGCAGCGGATGAGGAGGAGAGAGCAACGGATGAGGAGGAGAGAGCAGCGGATGAGGAGGAGAGAGCAGCGGATGAGGAGGAGAGAGCAGCGGATGAGGAGTGAGCAACGGAAGAGGAGGAGTGAGCAGCGGATGAGGAGAGAGCAGCTGATGAGGAGAGAGCAACGGATGAGGAGTGAGCAGCGGATGAGGAGGAGAGAGCAACGGATGAGGATGAGATAGCAACGGATGAGGAGAGAGCAACGGATGAGGAGTGAGCAGCGGATGAGGAGGAGTGAGCAGCGGATGAGGAGGAGTGAGCAGCGGATGAGGAGGAGAGAGCAACGGATGAGGAGTGAGCAGCGGATGAGGAGGAGTGAGCAGCGGATGAGGAGGAGTGAGCAGCGGATGAGGAGTGAGCAACGGATGAGGAGTGAGCAACGGATGAGGAGGAGAGAGCAGCGGATGAGGAGGAGAGAGCAGCGGATGAGGAGTGAGCAACGGATGAGGAGAGAGCAGCGGATGAGGAGAGAGCAGCTGATGAGGAGAGAGCAACGGATGAGGGGAGAGCAACGGATGAGGAGGAGTGAGCAGCGGATGAGGAGAGAGCAGCTGGAGGCAACGGATGAGGAGGAGAGCAGCGGATGAGGAGGAGGGAGCAACGGATGAGGAGAGAGCAGCGGATGAGGAGGAGAGAGCAGCGGATGAGGAGGAAAGAGCAGCGGATGAGGAGGAGTGAGCAACGGATGAGGAGGAGTGAGCAGCGGATGAGGAGAGAGCAGCTGATGAGGAGGAGAGAGCAGCGGATGAGGAGTGAGCAGCGGATGAGGAGGAAGAGAGCAACGGATGAGGAGGAAGAGAGCAACAGATGAGGAAGTGAGCAGCGGATGAGGAGGAGAGAGCAGCGGATGAGGAGAGAGCAACGGATGAGGAGGAGAGAGCAACGGATGAGGAGGAGAGAGTTGTGTGTGAAGGAGGGATTGCCCGTCTCCGTGTGTTGGTGTGGAGTGTTCGCTCCCAATAGAAAATCAACTTGTGTCTACCTTCTGTGTCTATGTTGTGTCCCCGTGTGCCTACATTGTGTCTATGTGTCCGTGTCTCCCTTCTGTCCAAGTGTCTCCCTCACGGTTTGTATAAATGTTTGTCCCTATGAAAGCAACGACCGATCTGACGAAGACTCGGCCACAAGTACAGTCGGCGTGTGTAGTGTACAGGGCCGTCTCACTCACCCACTGCACACATGTCACAGCCGTCTTTGTCTCTCCCCAGTGCCGTCTCACACTCACCTCGGAGATGTTTCCATGCTTCGACCGTCGCGGCAGCAACTCGGCGAGAAGGTTCTTCACTGAAGCTGGGAGAGCGAGTCGAGTGAGAGGGTCTCAGAGAGAGGTGAGTCTCGGGGTGAGTCTCGGAGCGCACCTACTGTACCGGACGCCTCCACTGTAACATTACGATCGGGCGGCAGTTGGTCGTGACGTTACGCGACGGTGGGCGTGGCCTGTGTCTGTAGGCAGGGAGGGGCGCGGGGGATGGGGGGCGGGGCACGGGGGATTGGGGGAGGGGCGTGCGGGGCGGGGCTCTCCAACGGGCGATGCACCAAGCGCCCCCAACAGCGAGTTTGTGTTGTTGTTCCATAACAATAATACGTGTTTGTGTTGTTGTTCCATAACAATAACACGTGTTTGTGTTGTTGTTGTTGTTCCATAACAATAACACGTGTTTGTGTTGTTCCATAACAATAACACGTGTTTGTGTTGTTGTTCCATAACAATAACAGCGTGTTTGTGTTGTTGTTGTTCCATAACAATAACACGTGTTTGTGTTGTTGTTGTTCCATAACAATAACACGTGTTTGTGTTGTTGTTGTTGTTCCATAACAATAACACGTGTTTGTATTGTTGTTCCATAACAATAACACGTGTTTGTGTTGTTGTTGTTCCATAACAATGACACGTGTTTGTGTTGTTGTTGTTCCTTAACAATAACACGTGTTTGTGTTGTTGTTGTTCCATAACAATAACACGAGTTTGTGTTGTTGTTGTTCTATAACAATAACACGTGTTTGTCTTGTTGTTCCATAACAATAACACGTGTTTGTGTTGTTGTTGTTCCATAACAATAACACGAGTTTGTGTTGTTGTTGTTCCATAACAATAACACGAGTTTGTGTTGTTGTTCCATAACAATAGCACGTGTTTGTGTTGTTCCATAACAATAACACGTGTTTGTGTTGTTGTTCCATAACAATAACACGTGTTTGTGTTATTGTTCCATAACAATAACACGTGTTTGTGTTGTTTCATAACAACAACACGTGTTTGTGTTGTTGTTCCATAACAATAGCACGTGTTTGTGTTGTTGTTCAGGCCACACGGGGTCATTGTTGACGAGTGGAGAGCCTCTTTGTTCATTGTTCTTATGCACGAAAAATGCATCAATAATATAAACTTTAATTGCAACATTACTATAAATTCCATAACATCAGAATCAGAATCTTTTTTGAGGCTGGAGGAATCCGATGAGCTATGAAGCTCTTCTTTACAGATGTCCAGTAGGGGCGGGTCACATTTAATTGCGGTACTGCTATCAATACGAGCAGGAACCCGCGAAACTTCGGCGAGGATTTTGGCAGTCCTCGACTTACGAAGGGAACCTGTTCTAAAGACATACAAAGAGAAAGACAAAGATCCCCCGTGTAGCCTTGATAGACTGTCGGGGCAAGTGCTGTTAGTGAGCACCTATGAAGGCCGGCACGGCACACGAGTGGGTGGGTGGCCAGTACCACGCCCGGCCACCTTTGTCTCCCCAGTAGCGATGTTTACACACCACAACAAGTAGGCATTTCAGACTAAGTAGACCTAGGTGCTAGGGGATAATCGTCACAGCTGTTAAGGCACATCCACATGCACACAGACAAAGATCCCTCACATAGCTTTAACAGACTATTGGGGTGAGTGAGGCTAGCGAGCAACTATGAAGGCCGACACGGCACACAAGAGGGTGGGTGGCCAGCACCTTTGTCTCCCAAATGGCGATATTTACTGGTACTCATTTTAGGCCGAGTCTTAAGTGCTAGTGTTCGTAAGTCAGGTGATCCTATGTCGTGTTTTTAAGTGCAGGTGTTCGTAAGTCGGGTATTCCTAAGGCGGGTGTTCGTAAGTCGAGGGCTTCCTGTAATTTTCATTTTACAGGTCCAGCTGATTTTAACCAGAAACCGATAACCTATGGCACTGGTAATGGCCTATAACAACTGCATATAGCCTCTTAACTAGATTAAAGAAACATCTGTGGTTCATGTGGTGGATGGAGCTGAACAGGGCCCACTGGTGGAGGGGCGAGGCCAAGGGAAGGAGTGGAGACAGCCTCTGGAGAGAGAGGCAACAAGGGAGACACGTTGTGTGAGTTATGGCGCAGATTATGAATCGGTTCACATACGCCGGTGTGTTTTCGCAGCATTAATTTGAGTAGTTCTCAACGTACAGAGTCGAAAGATAACTCATTTTGACCGTATTAATCCAGCTGGCTATGGTATTCAATGTGAACTTTGTACGACGTATGAATTTTATCTCAGATTTAAAAATATATAATCCAGTGTGTGACACAGGTGGGGTGTTTGATGGCAATCTGAAACACCCACCATAATCATCCATGGGGGTCTTTGGAATTGCACATTGCCTATGTTATGACTCTTGACCGAGATAAAAGAAAAACAAGTCACGTGCTGCAGTGCAATGACTACTCAGCGAAAATTCGTAAATAACAAACTGTGGTCTTAAAAGTATTTATTTTTTAATACGCGACATTTGGTCAATTGCTCTTCTTCATAGCACGTGAAGCCAACACGTGCGTCACCAACATTGCCGCAGCACCCCCTGCTGGACTAAACACGCTACTGGGCCGCGGAGACGCATCAGACGGCCACAAGCGAGTGGTGTCAAGTGTGATCATGATGATTAACACATTCCTGCGGAGGGAGCTGGTAGGAACGTTGGGTTGCTCGGTCAGTGGCCAGGGTCAACGGCGGCGTGGTGTATTCCGCAAATATGCCCGACTGTGAGGGCGGGCACAAGCCGACGTGAGTAGGTTAAACGTTGAGTTTTATAAGGGCACCACGGGGTGACCAGCCCCTCCACACCCAGCCCCACCCCTCCCACCCCCCACCCAGCCCCACCCCTCCCACCCCCCATCCAGCCCCTCCCCCCACTCCCCTCCTCATCCTCCCCTCTCCACCCAGCCCCACCCCTCCCATTTTTGGATGCACGACGGACGGACGGACACAATAATCCCCTGTGGGCTGGTGTAACCAGGAGGTTCCTACCAGTATGAGGCTTGTTTACCCAGGAAAGCCTCACTGCAGGCGCGACACGTCCATGTAGGCTATCTAGACGGTCGTCTAGGGCGCCAAGTTAAGTGGGGTGCCAAATTCGAGGGGAAAAAAAACTGTAATTTATTTCTCAACATTTCTGACAATTGATTGATTGGACAGACGGACGGACAAACCGAATCATTATGCATCTTTAAAAAAACATTAAACGGAAAATAGGGGCAAAATGTTTCCCAGTTTACCAAAAAACTCAGCCTCGATCTGCCCCTGGGGTTTGCTGGCGCCGATTGCTGGCAGCAGCGGGTCCAGGGCCGCCGCTGCCTCACTGAGTGAGCCTCGTGGCTCTTTTTCAGGAGGGTCCTGCCAGTTTTCACAGTAGGGGGTGGCTATGTATAATCCCAATTGAGTAATGTGTACTTTATATCAGAATACATTACAGTACACTATACCATTTTGCGTGAAAACTCGGGCCCATTATCTTGAAGTTATCGGGGGTGGGGCGTCTTTGCTTATTAGCATCTTTAGTATCTTGCGATTCACCAACGTTGGTTGGGGCAAGCCTGACTGCTGATGAGACGCTGAATGTCGAAGCGAGTCCATAGCTTGCTTTGTATTGAACTAATACTGCTGATATTATGCACTCCAAGAAGACCGTGGGGCTGATGGGATAAAACAAAAACATTGATTTTGTTGTTTTATGTGATGAGACAGATACAGGATTGTGAATGAGACATGTTTTTTGTCAATGTTATGGACGATTAGATGAGAATGGTGTGAGTTTGTGTGCGAGTGAATGGCAAATGCCTGGAGTGTGTGGTTCGGATCAGGTGAGTGGTGCGTGGTGGTTGATGAGTATATCATGTGTGTGTCAGGTGAATGATATCTGGTGAGTGGTGAGTGCCCGCATGGTGAGCGGTGTCTGGCGATGGGTCAGTTGTCATGCATGTGAGGTCACGCCACCTTATCCGTCCTCTAGTGTGTGTGTCAATAATAACAATGTCAACTTGCAAGACGCCGCTACCGCACATCACTCGCTCGCTCTCGCAGAGAGGACAACGACTCGGAGGCGCGAGGAGGAACCACAGATGAGCGGGAAGGCAGCAGCCAGGCGACGAGTCGACGCCAACGATTGCCCAAGCTCTGCGGTCCTCTACAATATGAGGTGGTGTGGGCCAATTAATGTGGGAGGAAACCGGATCACCTGAATAATAACTGAACAAAAAATGTTTACCAGGTAAAGCTCACTCAGCTATACAGCTCTTTTTTGCAGAAACGACCTGGCCCCAAATGATAGCTCAACGAAGTGGCTTATCTTGTGGAAATTTACATCAGTCAAATACTCAAAACGCTCGTTTATTCTGTATCTGAGGAGGTAAAAACTGGAGGACCCAGAAAAAATCCACGCGACCATGAGGAGACAGAGACATGCAAACTCCAAATATACAGCAGGCGTCTGGGTCGGGATCGAATCCACGACCTCCTGTATACCAGGCGAGGTAGTTAACATCTCACCACCGTGGCGCCCATGCGTGCGAAGGGGGCAAACACTCAATCCCATGCAGTCCACATTCTTCCTTTACCGCCTTCTCCTGGCATAGCCAGGGCATGGCACCTCCTCGACGCCCACGGCAAGGGAGTTTCACAACATCGAAGTGCGGTGATCCACCGACCCTCGCTGCTGCCTCCACAGTGCAGCAGCCACGTGCAGCAGCGTAGCCGCCAGCGCCCAGCTTTTGTTGTGTGCGTGTGTACACAGGAGACGGTAAAAATAACAAGACATGAGCAAATAATAAATGAAATTGTAAATTCTGAATCGTGACGAATTAAATTACTGGTGGGCTACATAACTGCGTCCCTACGAACCATCCGCCAGCAGCAGGTCTAGCGATGTTTTCAATCTCAGATCATTCTAATGTTTTACATTTCCATGCATTCGTTTTCCTTCTTCAGCACGCAGATGCTGATACATTAATCCAGAGATCATTGTCATTGTCTTCCTCGTCCAAGTATTAGCTGCACTCATTTGATATGTCGGTGTCTCTGAGCCATACGTCACAGCAGGTGATAGATGCACCGTTTGTAAAC